TCAATGCCTATAGGTTAGCTTATTAAATATAATCCTTCTTATAAGAGTGTGCTTATGGTTTATCATAAATGACCGAAGAAAAGGTGTTTTCTATACTAAATAAAATTAGAAAAAATAATATATATAATTATAGATAATTTATAAAAGATAACTTCCTTCTTCTATTTTTGAGGCGGTGCCATGTGAGAAAAACATCAAAAGAAAAAGATTGGACTGATTAATTGACTCGCTAGCTAACGATAACCAGCATAAATATTATGTGATTGATTAACCATGTTATTACTAGGCTGATTATTGCTTCTCACGATTAGTCATATTAATGTTATCCTAATTATAGTGAGTGATATTTGTCTCATCATTGGTTGCTCGTTTGACTTGTCTCATTTGATTTTAATTTGCTTGCTTAAATATGTCATGACATATGAATTGATGTTGGTATCTAATTCATGTGCATAACCTAATTTTGCCATATTATGTCAAGACACATTATATGTTGATTTGATTGACTTAATTGAAATGATCTATATTTCTCATCTTTTCCTATATTAAATTTTATAGCTGATTTAATGCAATGTCGTGGGCATATTATTTAGCTATTATATCGATATGTGCATTTTGTTTCAAAAAAAAAAAAAAACTTAAACTTAAGGGAGTTGTGGAGAGCGTTGTGGAGAGCTGATTTAATGTAATGTCATGGGCATACCACATAATTCTTATATATTTACACATGTAACACATAATCTTTCATATTTACATGCATAACCATCAAACTCTTAATGTCACATAAAAATAGTATTTTGCAAATTATTTTTAAAATAAAATATACATTGTCATGTATACGCTTATGACATCAAAGTATTATAAATGTAAATCTCAAAATTTAGGTTTATTACATCAAAAAAATGTGGTATATATGTAAATTTTCCTTAAAATAATAATGAGCAAAAGAGATAATTTCACCAATATTAATAGCCAAGTTCATTTCCAAAGAAATAATAAATGAAATATAAACTATATCATTTCAGTTAGGTCTTTCTATTTGATATAATTGATAGCCAAGTTAGCCAATTTAATAGCAAAAGAAATATAAACTATATCTTTTAATTTATATGACTGAAAAACACCATAAGTTATGATATGATATTTCAATTAGGTCTTTCTATTTTCTACTATTATAAAACACTTGAGAAAAATCATGAGCAAAATAAATGATTTCACCAATTTTTCTAGAAATAATATGAGCTATATCAAAAAACGAAAAAAATGACCTATAATATTTCAACTAATTTGAGTAAAAAATAGTCGGGCCTACGAGTCAGTCATGCTCGTATCGGTCAGACCAATTTAGTGGGCAGGTCTGACTATGAAATTTTAAATTTAAACCAGGATTAAGCCAGACCAGAGCTTACTTTGACTAGTCAATACCTGGAAAAGGCTCGACCCCCACCAAGCACAACTCACCCAATGCACAACTCTAGTGGTGATAACTGACCCTATCTTTGGCCCTGACATGCCTATTCAACTATTTTTTGATATCTTAGACTCAATTTTGACACTTTAAAAATCGAACAAGGCCTCCATAGTCAATATTCGACCAATTTAAGGAATTTTATATGTCAATAATTTTTGCTTTGATTGACAAATCAATTCTAAGAATAATTTAAATTATGATTGAGAGGATTTTACTTGGATCATAACCTCAAGAAAGTATCCATGTTGATGTACAGGGAGCAATCATGTCTTATAATCTTTCTAAAACTATAGTTTTATGCTTAAATATTTTAAAATTTTAATATCTATTTTTAGAATACATGAGCTTCCACATCCTAAAATTGGATGTAAATGATATGCCACCAGAAAAGCCACTTAATTAGGCACAAATCTTGATGTGTTTAGATAAAAAAAGTTTATAATTAAATTCAAAACCAATCAAGCTGTGATTTCAAAATAGTTAAATTTAAGTATATTGATAATACAAACCAGAGGACACTAAAAGCGAATCAGGTTGAGCCTAAATGAGCTCAAATCAAGAGCTTGATAAGAAGCTATAAAACATTAATAGATAAATAAAATGATATTTAAATTTGGCATATTTATAATCAAATTGAGCATATTAATGAGAGGAATCTAACAAACTTGATATCACTCAATTGTGAGATCATTAAACAACTTAAATGCTAAAATAATGACGTATGATCAAAGAAATTAACACAAATCATATGATGGAATGTATTGGGATTTTGCCTATATTTACAAAAATGATTCTCCCATAATTCTATAAATATGAAACATTTTAAACATGATGGAGGGGGAAGTTATGAGCTAAGTTCTCACTCTGGAAGAAAACTTAAAGCTAACGGCCAATGAAAACCATCATCATCTACAATTACTAGCTATTATCGTTTAAATTTTGTAACTCTGTTAAAATTTTATAACACCATATTTTAAAGCGGGGTGAATTTTTGTAACTTTAAATACAAAAATAACTCTCTATACATATTGTTGAAACAACTTGAATTTTGTTAATCCTTGTAATTTTTTTTTTCAAGATTTTGTACACAAAAATCTTGATGTCACTTATCATTTATATCTTTGTGTGTGTTGGATCTTCGTACAATGCTAAAATATTATCTCTCGCTTTACCACCATAAGTTTTTTGCACAAAATAATCTCAAAAAGCTCTTCTTCAGAGATAATTATTAAGTTTGGAAAATTTTAGTACTTGACCTTCAACATTGCCAAAATTTACTATTAATGAATGAATGTTGGCCAACACAATTGTCAAAGTTAATCAATGCTAACAATCACATCATTAACCAAAAGTCGATGCCTGCCATCATCCATCTGTTGTTACACTTCAAGATTCTCTTATGCAACATTGAAGCCCTTTTTAACCAACACTGATGCATGCAATTAACTATATTTCGAACTAATGGTGACAATAATCAATATCAATCCAACATTAACGTCTGTCTTTCAAGTCAATGATAATTTCTACTACATGTAGAACAATCAGGAAGAACATTATCAAACACTCAAAATTTAACATTCCTAACCAATTTTACTAATGTCCAATGCCCAACATCTACTTTCATAATTATTAGTCTCACATTCATCGAAAAAAATGCTACACAAAATAACAATAATAACTACTAATTGATGACCATTGTTTTCAATCGATCATTCCCTTAAAACCTATCAATGTATGATCTTTCAACACGAATATATGATAACTATATTCACTAAGGGCCCGTTTGGGGCAGCTTATAAGTGCGGCGTCGTTTTCAAAATATCGTCTTACCGTTTGTTTCGCGCGTTGGAGATGCTTTTATCAAACCTGAGTTTCCTATTTTACATTACATGCGGATCACAGGGCTAGACCCGCGATCCGCGTTTACTTATTCCGTTTAGCCCCTAATTACTCTGCTGCCCCTTCCCGCAACGTCTTCCTTCTTCCATCGTTCACAATTCTTCTTCCTTCGTTCGCGATTCTGGAATAAAGAAAGCTCCCAGTGCCACAGATTCTTCCTTCGTTCGCGATTCTTCTTGCCGGATTCGACATTGCTTCTGCTTCTTCCTTCATTGGCACTCCTTGCTTCTGTTTCTTCCTTCTTCGACACTCCTTCAACGCTCCTTCGTTTACGATTCGCGGGTTCGACATGCTTCCGCTGTCCGCCTCCTCTTTCGCTCGGTCTCCCTCGCCTCTCTCCCTCGCATCTCCCTTGCCATTTTTGTCTTATGGATTCTTTATCTTCTTCACTAAATTCATGTTATAAACTTGTATGAATTTAGGCTTTTTTTTGGCTTTTTGCAACCGTGATTCTCTGTTATAAGGTTCTTCTGCCTTCTTATGACAACAGATTATTCGTCTCTTTATGCTTACTTTTAGCTTTGATATTTTTTAGCAGGATGTGCATGCATACCACAAAGTTTATATGTATTTATATCTAACATCTAAACTTGGTTATTTTCACTTTCTTTATATTTTGTTTAAATCTTTTATTTGGGTTTGTCAAATTCTATTTTTAGAGGATTATGATAAGTCATATGACCCAAGTGGTTCTTCTGGATTGCCTTCTTATATGCTTTTCTACATACAAAAATTTGATTCAAGCGTTCCTCATTATGGGTCTACTTCCTTCTTTTGATGGTAGATTTTTCATCTATTTATGTTTACTTTGAATCATGAGTTTTTATTTTTATATAAACTTTGGTTGAATCTTTTTGATATATTTGTCAAATTCATTTTTTTTTATTATGTTAGAAATTAATGTTTTCTTAATATTCACTCTTAAGTAGAGTGTATAATATTTTTTTGTACTTTCATGAATTGGTTTATTTGGTTCTTAACTGTCAAATGTGTAGCTGTTACAGTTCTGTTACAAACAAAAATACTGCGCAGTGTCAGAATAGTCATTTACCAAAAAAAAAAAAAAACTATAAATAAGTTGTTTACAAAACACACAAAACAAACAACTAAACAGTTTATCCAGAACAAATATGAGCTGACAAAATAGTCATTTATTCAGAATCAGTTGTTTTCTAAACACACAAACCAAACAATCAGCTAGCTTATTCGGATCAGCTGCTCATCAGCAGATTGTCAAGATAAGTTTCTTATCAGCATAAGTTGGATAAGTTACAGCTGCCCCAAACAAACCCTAAGACTCTCTTAATAGAATATATTTTAAATTAGATTAAATCACAATGAGTTTTTTTTTTTATCCCCCTCCAGTGCTATATTATATCTCCAATCATAAATATTCCATCACCTAATATTTATGCCTTTCACCCATTCTCTGCCCCAATTTTTAATATGCAATCATATCCTAGGGAATTTTTTATTTTAATTTTTTCATTGGATTAATACAGACAAAATTTAGAGAGAGTGGGTGAAAGAGGTGGACCCGTTACGACCCGGTTACACAGTAAGCTAACTTCATACCTTGTATCTATTGCGTAATTACTGTATGCGAATGAATAAATACCAGTAAGAGAACCACGCTCTTCTTCCAACACCGAGCACTACAGATTTCTCCACACTCCGCCACTCCAATTTGTGAAACAGAGGGAAAGCACCGGCGATCTCCTTTCTCTGAATCCAAGAAGCGAAAAAGACGAATCGATGGAGCGCTACAGACTGAACCCGAACTTCAATGGAGCCGCCGCTCCTCCTCAAAAACCCAATCTTTTCCTCAGCCCAACTTCTCAAATCTCCCTTCCCCCGAAACCCCACTTAAAAGACCCCCCAATCTCCCCTTACCTCCAACCCCACCGACCAAACCCCTCCGGCGGCGATCATCTCCGCCTTTCTGCTGATGACTCCGAGCTCAGCATCTTCAACGCCGAGCGTTACTTCAACGAAGGCCATGATTCTAACGAAACATCTAAAAAGCTCACTCCCATCGCGGAAAGGCGCGACCTTTCTCCGGTTAGCTTACTCGACGGTTTCAGCCGAAACTCCCGAAGCCGCTCTTTTCACACGACTCCTACTGTTTCCTCCGAAGCTAGCTGGAACAGCCAAGCCGGTCTTCTCAAGAATCCACCTGGCTCGCTTTCCATTACCGTTAAAAACTTCCCTGCTACAGAACAGGGGAAGGGCACAGCTTCACCCGGTCGACGGTTTTTCCGCCGCAGATGTCCTTGCTCCGGCAAGAAATCCGTCGACGTCGAGGAGAGCTACTCTGAACCCAAAATCACCATCCGGCCTAGCTTGGATTCCACTGCTAGCAATCAGAACTTGATCAAAACAGAGCAAGAAATGGAGAAGGCCACAAAAGTGAAAGTTTTCCCTGGAATACAGCCAAAAGAAAAGGAAACTTTTCTCTTTTCACCGGAACTCACTCGCCGGACTGTGAACTCCGGCGGGTTCTCCTTCCCCATTCTCGCTTCATCCAAGAAGAAAGCCGTGGAAGACCCCGCAAGAGACTCGCTTGAAGTGTTTCAACCAACGACCGACGGAACATCGTCTCCCGTGCTGAGAAAATCTACAGATTTTCAAAAGAATGCGGATCGCCGGAGTTTCAACATGCCAGGAAGCCCCAAGCTTCGGTCCCCAATCGACGACGACTTGGCAAGTGATGCTAGTTCGGATCTTTTTGAAATCGAGAGTCTTTCAACTCAAATAAACAGTCGCCGGAGTTACTCCATCGACGAGCTTCCTTCGCTGGCGTTCGAACCGAAGAAGATCGCCGGAAATTTGCCGCTCCAGCGAAGCATTGAAGAGGAATGCTACCCGCCGAGTGAGGTGAGCGTTTCATGGAGCGTAACGACAGCAGAGGGTTTTGATCGCGCAAGCGCTGCGAACTTTTCCAGCGCTGTGTCGGAATTCGACGACCACCGGTTCCAGCCGTTCTCCGGCGAGGGGAAGAAAGCCATAACTGTCGGCGGTTTGCTTAGCTGCCGGTCGGAGAAAGCCGTTTGTGTGGTGGCGCCGCAACTCGTCCGATTCGGACCGGATGTGCAACGAAGGACCGGGGGTTCTCTTTTTGCGGTCGAGCCGGATCGTGTGCTAGGATTAGCGAGGCTGGGGGCTGCGAATCCGGTTCGAGATAGCGCCGGGTTACTTGGTCCGAGATCGGTTTGTGTGAACCGGATGGTTCAACCGATTAATGCGAGGGTTTATTGAAATGGTTGGAGCTCGCGAAGTTTCTGTACTTGTTCTTATATTTAAATAATTTTGAATCGGCTATTTTTTTTTTATTTTTTTTTCTTTTTCTTTTTTCGCCAAAAATTTTGGTAGAATTTTATTCAGTGTAATTAGATTTGAAGGTCATTCCCATAATTCATAATTATAATGGGCCATTTACATAAACGCACCCAATTCTTATTTATTTACATATCTCACCCCTAATTTTTCATATTTACACACACATCTCTCAAAATAACATGTAAATACATAAGAATTGTGTGCTGGGTATGTAAATTTTACATTTATAAAAGATACGACATTTACATACATACCACTTAATTTCTATGCATTTACATATATAACCGGTTGTACTCTTTTTAGTTTTAAATAGTTTACATAAATGATTTAAATGTCATTATCCATTCTCTTTTTTTTTAAAAAAATATTTTAGAAAATAGCTTAATAATCACCTAACCCTAGTTTACTTCACTCTTAAACATACCATTATAATATTATCTTCATTAAATATTCATATATGATCTAAATTTTAATAATTGAATATATGGCGTGTGTATATCCCTTCTTGCTCCTTGCTCGCCAACATAATCTCACTGTCAAAGTACGTAATTATTATAACAAAAACTCTAATTAAATGTTTAGCAGGTCAATAATGGGTCCACATTCGTGTCCTGTACAGGTGCAAAAAAAAAAACAACTTCATTTAACGCTGGCTTCTCTTCAGATGCTCGAGCTAACCTCCTTAATGATATGAGACCCACATGTGTGCTACATAGGGGTCTCAAATAAACATATATAATGGCAGACAACATAATCTCTATTATTCATTGAAAGCTAATATACACACACGGGGGCTTGAAATTAGCTCGAATAGATTTAGCGCCGCTCGAAATCGGCTTGTGGCTCGTTATATTCAATTTCGGGCCAAGCCAACTCAAAATTTAATAGAACTCAATCGGGCACAGCTCGAAATAGAAGCCAGCTGGCTCAAATCGAGTTAGTTGGATCCGTTACAGCTTGGAATCAGCTCGATCCGGCTAATAATTGAAACAAAATTACTCAAATTGAGTTATTTGTATATGTTTTAGCTTGAAATTGACTTATGGCTCTTTATATTAAATTTATTTAGAATTATACATATAATTTTAATATAAAAAAATTACAAGCCAATCCCTAGTGAGTTCAAGCCGATTCATCTATAGCACAAAATTGGCTCTAAAAATAGTTGTTCCAAAGTTTCAGCTGAGCTATGCTCGTATATTACTTTACTTTGATCCGGTCTTAACTCGAGACAAAATTCAAATCGATTTTCTAACGATTCATGACCTTCGAGCTAAATTCATAGCCCTTTTTATACAGTCAAGCTAAACTAATATTTGACTTAAATTTGAGTGATTAATTAACGAAAATTTAGCTTAAGCTCATATTTAATTTTATAAAATTGAGTTGGCTTGTGAGTTGCTCATTTATTTTAAAAGAAAAATAGTGATTATATTCTAAATAATTTTTGTTAAAAAAACTTAATTAGTAAATTAGAGAATTAGAAAAAAAAATAAAGAATTAGAAAAAAAATATAATAAATAATTTAGATAAAGAAAAGAAGATGAATATTTAATATTTTGTACTTAATTTTTTTTAATTTAAATAAGCTGAATAAATTTATGAGCTCGCGGCTTGAGGAGAGAGATGGTCAAATTTGAGTAGCTACTTCATCAAATGTTATTCACAAACACTGGCAATACTACGATTAAAGAATGGGGGCTAAATAAAGATTAAGTAAAAACGGTTAAAATTAAGTTTAATTTAAAAATAAATAGATAAATAAATAAGATAACATAAAAAATGGCTAAAAACAATTTATTAAATAAAAAAAATATATCTTTTAATATAGACATTATGAATATATTAGATGAGCCGATTTCAAGCAGATTTTGAGCTAATCCCAGCTCAAGCTCGACTTGAAATCAGATCGTTAATAGCTCTACTTATCATTAACTTCTTATATGGATCTGATGCCTACACCTATATCATTATATTCACTCATATAATAATTTAATCTCTAGATCACCACTTGCATTAAGTCATCTAAGGTGAACCAAATATTTCAGGCATATATTTTTTATATCATTTAGGAATGTTTTAGATATGTAAAGACACAAAATTCTTGCCTATGTAAATCCCCCTTTTTTTTAATTGCTAGACTATTAACAAGGCGTGGATCCAAAACACGTTATGCAAGTTTCATCACTCAAAAAGTTGTGGTAAGTATTACTTCCTTATTTTCTCCTATAAGGGACAAATATATTAGAAACAACCTCAAGGATTCAAGGGATATCAATTCTCTAATATTAGTCTATTACTAAAGATGAGGAGATGCTCAACCTCATACCTCAATTCTCTTGTTTACCTTTGGTTCAATGTTGTTTCAAACAAAAATAATCATAACCATCAAATTGTAACAATTTGATCTGCAATTTCCCGATAAACCTATTGATTGATATCATCCATTGTTTCATTTAACTAGAAAGAGTTAACTTAACTATAACATTTTCATTAAAACAAAAAAGAAATATAGCATAAACAACAAAATGTCAAGACAAACAAGTTAAACATCAAATTGGCCCAACCTTTAATAATACAAAATAAATATTAAAAAAACGGACTGCGAAAGTCAAATCCATCTAAGCTAACTCAGAAATACGTTATATATATATATATATATATATATATATATATATGTATAAATAAATATAAATATGAATATGATAAATATAAATATAAATGATTTAGTTTAGGTAATAGATATATAAATACATAAGAGTTGTGTTGTATGCATGCATTTACATTTTTCTTTAATTATTTTTTACACCAGTTTATCTGAAACTGCATTTGAGTTTTTTACACTAAACACAGGCCGCAGGTCGACCCCTGTGACAGACTCGCGGGCCGCATTTCAGGATAAACAGCTTATCCTGAAATGCACAAGCTGCCCCCAACGAACCCTTTTAATCTCTGCACACATGAAGAAAAAAATCAAGGCAAATTGCATTTTTAACCACTACCCTTCCTTGGGTTACTATTGTTGAATTAACCCTAATCGATTTTTTATCTATTAAGAATAAGTCTTATCCACTACATTCATCTAAAAGAGAAAAAAGGTCTTACATACTAAATAACTACCTAACTTTACATAGACCTAACTACTTAAAATTACCATAAAATGAAAACAACATCAAGTTATTAGACAACAACCAAAAATAATACAGACTACTAAATCCGAACATGATTTCTAATAAAAGAAGTTAAACTTATCATCTGAAATTTTAAGGATAACATGACATGTCAACTCCTTTCATCTAAGAAATAGATTATTTTAGTATTATATCATGATTTAATTTGAGCCGATTGTAAAGTCGAGAGAGAAGATAACTAGTTCGTAGTTGCGAAGTATTTGTTATGAGATATTACATTTTGCTTTAAAGAGTATAGTGTAATTACAAACTAATGAGATAAAATATGTCCATTTTTTAATCTTTATTTGCTATTAATTTCTATGAATTAAAATTATAAATCTTGCAAAATTCATAATTAAAATTTAAAATAAAATAGCTGAAGAAAATATTATCCAAAGGAATAAAACCTTAAAATTAGCACATGTTGATTTCATCACCTCCTACCAAACGAGCATGAAGACGGATCAATATTAAAACACCGCACATGCGATGTTGATTCCCACTATTAATCCACAATTAACAAACTTAAACCGCAGACTAACAGTAAATGAACGGTGTATTATGTTGCCACGTCAGCAAGATTAGTTAAAGCTCAGATTTGGCCACGTAGCCAAAATATTTTACCAAATTATTTAATGCAATATTTATTCACGGATCGTATTTCCGTATCTTGTAGTTCCGAACCAGACAGAGCAACCTAATCTAGGAAACCTCTTTTGACTCTTCTATAACTGAGTGGGCTCCACAACAAATCCCGAGGAGGATGACACGCGTCAGTTTTTGGAGTTCAGGAGTGCGGTTATATGGGCCCCAATGGGAATGGAATTGACGTTTCTGTTGTAGATGGGCCTGGTAGTGGGCCATTTCTCTGTGTTTGGGTCGGGTTTTGCGTGTGGGCTGGCCAGGGTTCGGTTTTCGAGTGAGCGTCATGTCTGCAGCAAGAAGCTTTGCCAGTTTGACCAATCAGTTTTGACTGGAGGAATGTAGAACTGTAATATGGCAAGACTTCAACAGCTTGCAGGTCTGCTAATGTTAATTTATGTTTGAGAAATTTACGTTTATACCATACAATTCTTATGTATTAACATATCAAACACCCAAAGTTTGATATTTCCATTTACAATTATAATACCATACATAAAAATGTATATATATATATATATATATATATATATTGATGTGTTGTTAAAGATTTAGTGAAATGTGTAAATGTTAGCGTCCAAATTGTCAGCTCGAATCGCAAAGCATCCAAACGACCCACAATGGTGGGAGAAACACTGATACCCCATAGCGAGATACTCAAGCGGCAGACCCGACCGACAGAGAGGCAGACAAGAGTCATTGATCGCAGGTAATCGGTCGACCCATCTTCACCGCGGTGGCGAGATTGACATTCAATCAGGCGTCTTAGCTGACCAAAACGTATTTTAAATAGCACAGTCGTCACTCAGCCAGTTGTCTCAGTCAACTGAATTCAAACAAGTTGGCCTGCCAATTACTGCCATGTTAAAATTCAAAATGTAAATGCAGATATGATATGAAATCCATATAATCAATAAGAGTATTCCTTGTATTAAGGGCAGTTTCCATAACAGTTTCCCCTTTTCCGTAATTGCACAAAATACTCCTATAAATAGGAGGTAAAAATACGAATAAAGAGACCACTTCTCCCGACTCTCTACAGGAACTCTAAACTTATTCTACTCTCTTCCCTCCTTCGTCCAACCCTAACTCTTGAGTCATATTCACAAAGGATAAATTAGGATATATATGTAACTAATAGCCTGATTGTGAACCTATCAAGAATCTAAAACTGTTGGTTTAAGAATATGAGATGCGCCTCATCTGGTGTGTTGGAAGTCCAACTCTTAAAGTTAAAATATGGTTTATGGCATCAACAATAAACCAGTATTGGTGGTTTCAAAAAATTAGAGCTAGATTTAAATGATTCATCATTCTAGACTTAAGAAAAAAATTATAAAATTGTGCATATTTTTAAGAAGTGATGATTTTTAACCATAATATACTAAATAAAGTATTTTTAAGAGGCAATTATTTGTATATGTTGTGCATAAAAGGTTATAAATGAATTTTATAAATATGAATATTAATTTAGTTGGTATAAATGTAGATTAAAAATAAAAACTCTTCCCATAACTCATTTTTTAAAAAAAATTATAATGATGATATTTTTTTATGTGATGTAAAATTATGAGGGTATGCATCTAAATATGAAAATTTAGAAGCTTGATATATGGTTAACAATATTTCTTTTACTCTATGATGAATATTCATTTGAGACATTAAAATAGTAAAATTAATCCGAATGTGATTTTTATTTTCACAATCATTCTTTTAAGGTGCATATGGACAAAAAATATGATCAATGTGAAAAAAATATTACATCAGGACTCCGCACATAGAGTTACGTATGGAGTCCAATGAAATTACGCCATAGAGGTGATCAGTCCGGTAGCACAAGGGAATATTCCTCTCGTGTTATTCAGGTGTTGTTGTGAGTTATTCACGTATTATTGTGTGTTATTTAGGTGTTATTGTGTGTTATTCATGTATTATTGATATGTTATTGTGTTATTATAACACCGAGAATATTCTCATAACACAATAACACCAGAATAACACAAGGGGAATATTCCCTAGTGTTACCGGCAGATCACCTCCACGGCGTAACTTCATTGGACTTCACACGTAACTCTACGTGCGTAGTCCTGATGTAATATTTTTTCGATCAATGCTGTCATTGTAAAAATAGAACGAAAATTTACATTTTAAATGTCAATACCTTAAATACTATATATATATATATATATTTTCCACATGGATGAACAAATTGCAATCAAGGTGTACAATATACAACTACATCTCCCGAATGGGCCCATCAACTGTCTAAGTAGGCCCATTAGAAGACATTGAAGTATATTTCAATTTCTAACAGAAAAACAATTATAAAATAACATTTGATCCCCTAATGACAACTTAAAAAAATAAAAATTTAAGGAAAATAAACAAGTAAGCATGTTAATCCATTACTCACAAGCCATTATAATCTTCATATGGTCTCCTTTATTTGAATACCTTCAATTTGGAGCTGTGTCTCAGGACCAACATTGGTTTCACAATCACTCATTCCATTAACACCATTCTTCTCCAACTTTGGAGATGCCGGATCTGTGGATGTAGAACCTTCAGATGAATTATCGATGTGAGCATCGGATAAGAAAGATATTGATCGTCGAGGAGGTTGATCCGGCGAAAGAATGGCACCTCCTGAACTCAATAGAGCCGCCATCTTCTTATCATCTTCTTTCATTCGATCAGCGAAGTTTGAGTAGTTGAAATCATTCTGATTGCGCCCACCAAATGTCGATTCAAGTTTTTCCGTGTCAAAAAGGTCCAGCATTATCTTCTGGCTCTCAGGGTTATCAGAGTAAACAAATTTCACTTTCTTATATGTCTTCTGCTCAATAAATGGTTTCACCATCTGCAAAGAGAAAGGAATGCCTCACTTCAAAACCATTCAAATTGTAGTTTGGAGAATGTTTATTTTAGGAAAACATGATGTAATGTGCTTGCAATGTATCATAGTATTTTTAGCATTTGATTTGCAGCGAAGTTTAGAAGTTTGTTGGGAGGTAAATGAGTCAAAATTGGCTTCTAGTTGATTTCTGTGGTTTACTTTGCATGCTTTATAAATGCACACACCCAAATGGCTCCTTTAAGTCTTAAGAGAACAGCCATAGACAACAAGATGATAAAGATCTTAATATTCATTCCATTTTTTCACATCTTTAACTTTCAACATTTCTCTCATGTCATTTTTAATGACTGTAAAGATTGTGGGTGTTGAATGTTGATGTTTATATCTTCTGGCTTAATATTTATCTGCATAATCAGGACTTGAATTTGAGTAAAGCCTACTAACTTAGGGATGAAAACCCATAAATGGATATTCGAGACATTTAATTTTATTCAATTTAGCATCTAAAAAAGTTTAATAGTTTTGCTTTCAATCTTATGTTTATGTTGGATGTATAATTCCTTTAAGTGGGACAAGTGCAATAGACAACTTGTGGGGAAAATATCTACTAGCACGAGCGTGAGGCTTACATTTGCTCTATTTTTGTGACTTCATTCTTTTCTATTTTTCTTTTTAATATTTAGTTATTGATGTTGCAAGAGTTCTAACTCGAGTCAAACTTGCTACAATTAGGATTTAAATTGTTGTGTTGAATTCAAATTTCTCATTAATTTTTTATGATTCAAATTTCATGTTGATTTCTTTGATTAATTTGCATTATCATTTGGTTACAATTTTACAATTTTTAGTGAGAAGTGTTCTTTATTATGCAAAGCCTAATTACTTTTGAAATCTACATTCATTATATCATACCCATAGCATTAGGGACGCTAAACCCGAAGATGAATTGCATCAAATTGACACCAAAGCTTTAGATTTTTTCATTATATCACTTATAAACGATACGAGATATTTGAGTTCTTGCAAATCATCCAAGGATTGGATTTTGACCAATATGTGAAATTAATCAATTCAATTACAACAAAAAAAAAAAAATCAAAGCTTATCAAAGCTTTGATGGCATCAACTTTACTTAATGCATGAATTAAAATTTGGAAACCAATTCAATGAAGTAAATTCCAACCATAAAGATGGACCAATTCAACTGAATGTTTAAATTGGTGAAAGATAAAAATTTCATGATAAACATTATAGGGCATTTGATACCGAGGTTAACATAAATCATAAAACTCAAAATTTTGATGTAGATGATAGCTTAATTGAAATGGTTATAATGAAAGTATTAGATTTATTAGATTTATTGGTTTTCAATAGCATTTATTTATTATTAATTACCCTCATTCTGCATTATGTAGTTTCCTTTTTTTCATTATTTTGATTTTATTTCTTTGATTGCATTTTTATTTCTTTCCTTATTTGATTGCATTGAAAGAGTTTAAATACCCCTATGTATCAATGAGTATTAAGCTGTTATAGTCACAAATACTACAGAAAGTGTATACTATTAATGGTAAAATTGATTCCAAAGTCTTCTCACACATGGTAATAATTTTAGAAAATTATTTTGAATGACATATACCTTGGAGAATGCCGCAGAAGGTTTGAAAATTGAAATTGGTTGGGCAACTCATAGAACATTGAATGATTATGGTAAAGCAATAGAAAAGGTTGGAAAGGTAACCCATTTTCTCCTTTGCAAAAATGAAAGAGCTTTGAAAACAGAATACTTGCCTTTGCCATATCATGATCATTGGCTTGATGGCTTTAATGCTTCAACATAAGTGATTAAAATTATAACAAAAGACATGAACAATTTGAAAAATTATTGTATTATTCTATGATCGCCAAAGGCTCTAAAGCCACAAATTTTAAATTTAGATATGACTTGAGGCATAATATCAATAAATAGAAGACATCATATTCTGTCACTTAAGAATGCTTTTCAACTTGCCTTATATTTTGAGCAAAAATTAAGATTTCATGTCCTAAAAACATTATTACTCAGCCTGAGAGTGCATCATTTCATTAAAGTATTAATTTCAGCCCATTTTATCTTCTGCATCTAGGAGTGGTAACACTTTCTAATAAGGATAATAATAAGAAATCATTTGCATCTGCATATGGCTTTAATATTTCTACTAAAATATTTTTTAAATGTCATCAAATTAGTCATTATGTCAGTGAGAATCATTGTATAAACTTACATATTAATATAAAGAATTATAAAAATGAACTCAATGATATTGATAATGTTCACGAGTTTTATGAGAAAATTAGTGATCTGTTGTATGATTTAGTTGATTGTTTTTAAAACTCATACTTTGCATTATAATTACACATAAGTTTAAGTCATATAAGAAGATAACAATATATTTTCAAGTCTATTTCAAATATAAAGACAAACTATGGAAGTTGATCGTTGATAGTAGAGTTATATGAATGTTATATCTAAGCCTGTCCTTCAAAACTTAATTTAGAAACTTACATCACATCAACAACCATATATGATAGTACAGGTAAACAAAACAACAATCTGTGTCCTCAGACTATTTATTCAATACCCAACAATTAATATTAAAAGAATTTTGTGTGGCGTGTTGTTATCCGTTGACATAGTTCCAGTTATTTTATGTTGACATTAGCAATATGAAATAGATGTTAATATTCTAAGAGATTTAATATTTAGTCTTCCAAGACTAATGGAAGAAGAATATTTTTGAAACCTAAAAAATCCAAGAGTAAATATGAATCCACCAAAGAATCTAGCATTCCAAATGATAAAGCAAAAAGTCTTCGTATATTCTAAATAAGCACGGATTTGAGAAGAGAGTAATTTGAAAGTATTCTGTCTTAAGTAATTATTGAATTATCTAGTACATATTTTAAATTTGATTGATGATGTTAAACAAGTGTTATCAAATTTTCAAGATACATATCTTGATGACCTTAGACTTAGAGATATAAAGCATCTTATTGATATAGTTCATGGATCATAATTGTCTAATTTTGTTTAGCATAAGATGAATCCAATTGAATACGACAAATATGAGATATATTAATGATTGCTGAAGAAGGTATTTATTAAAGAGATCATGAGTCCTTATGTTCTTCCAGATTTACGCTTATCAAGGATGAAAATTGGTCTACGCATGTAGATAGTAAAACGATCCATCAAACATAGATTTTCCTAAAGTTCACTTAAACAATATGCTAAATAACGATAAATATTGTTTTTCAAGGTTAGCTTAAGGGCTGCTATCATCAAGTGAGAATGAACAAAATTGAAAAGTAAAAAATTGAATTAGAACAGAAGATGGATTATATAAATGATTAGTAATGCAATTTAGCTTATTTGATACACCTAGTGCCTTCAAAATGAAAATGAATCATGCATTGTGATCTCCATGTAAAAATTTTCTTGCTTAATTTGATGATATTTAATCTATAGCAAGAAATAAGATGATTATTTGGATCAACTTCAGAAAGTATTTAAGTTTATGCAAAAGATATATTATATTTGAATCAAAGGGATTGTTGCTTTGATACAGCAACTGTGATCTATTTATAATTTTCTATGTCAAATGATACATTATATGTTGATTCTAATAATCTTAAAGCAATTATTAATCAGCAAGGGCCTACTAATATTCATGATCTTTGGAGTTTTTTATAATGTGGATAATTATTTCAGATAGTTCATTAAGTAGTTTAATGTTGGTATAACTAAAATCACTAGTTGTTTTAACAAAGGGGAATTTAAATAACTAAATTTGTTGATTATGCTTTTAATAAAATCAAAGAGAGACTTACGAATGCGATGCATTTAAATTAACTGATTTTAATAAAGCATTTGATATTTCTTATGACACATCTGATATAGATAGTGGAGGTAATTTAAGCCATAAAGGGTAATTACTGTTTTCTTCAATCAAAAATTAAATGTAGCAAAAATACATATATATTCAAACTATGGCAGGAGTTTTATGTTGTTATGCAATCTCTCGTTTATTAGAGACATTATATGCTGTCTAGAGAGTTTGTACTTTATTTTGGCCACTGAGTTTTAAAATATTTGAGTTTTTATAAAAAGTTAAAGCACAGACAAGCCAAATGGGATAAGTTTTTGCAGGAATGTGTCTTTAAACATGAAAATTTGCTACTCTACAAGCAATGAAAATTGGGGCAATTAATTATGAATACATAAATGAGAAATCTGTCAATTATAAGGACTATTTTGGGATATATCAGGACTTAAATAATAATTCAGCTGAGCTTCACAAAAATTAAATAATTTAAAGGTGATTATTTATTGAAAAGTGCTCATCTTTGCATTCCTAAGTCATCTTCGGGAGATTTAAACTTTTTTTTTTTTTAAGAACTATAAGTTGGGGGTGTTGAGTATTTTGAGAGAGAGATAAAATCATCGCAATGACGAAATATACATTTTTTTTTTTTTTTGGGAAAGATGAGTCCAAAGAGTAATATGTGTAATTGGAACCATTCCTCACGGTGAGAGATTGCACCAAACCACCATGTCACAAATAAATGCATACAAAATATACATATTACTAAAAATGTTTAAAAAAAGCTGAGGAATGCTTCATTTCACTATACAGGACTTACTGAGTTGTTGTAGGGAAGAAAAATAACATAAGGCATTATAGGCCCATGCGTATTCCATATAATCATTAGATGGATGTTAGTATGCTTTTTATATTGAGATAATCATGAACACTGGGAAAGTACAATTATTTTTTAATAGTGGCAAGTCATTATCCATAATAGTTTAATATATATTATGCCATAAACCTATTCATGCATCTCATATTTCAAAAATTACATTTTAAAAGATTAATTAAATTGCACGGTTACCTAAACCAATTATTTTTGTTTGTAAAGTAAAATTCATAAGCCAATCATAAAAAAAATTTTAGAAAAAATAGACCTATAACTTAGTTTTTTAGTAGCTTATCATCCAAAAACTACGGACAAATTGAGACAGGTAATAAAAATTTTAATGATTTGGTGCATTGTTGCCTATGGTTGTTCTTGCTTACAATTCATCAGTTAATAAGTTTTTAGGCATGAATTCATTTAAAATTTTTATTGAGTTTCAACCTAGAAAACTTACAAATATTGTTGAGCATCCTATTGAGTCTAGGCCTAATGCATTTGAATAGATATATATATATATATATAGCTAGCATGAAAAAATGTGTAGAAATAGATTACTGATTATAATAATTATAAACCATTTTTCTAACATAAATACGAGGTGCTTGAAATTTAAGCCGATAAATAAAGTGATGGTGCATAGTATCCAAGATAAAGTTCAAAAATTATTTGTGAAAAACGTATGGTATTTAATTTGTAGGTCATTGGAACAAACATCTATGAATAAAATCTTTTACCAAACTCATTTCATGTACCTGCAATTAATGCATTCTATTTCTTCCATTTTTAATCTTTGCCGCCAAATTTGAATCTCACACATTGTCAGAAGTCTATAGTTCTCTTAAATCTACTTTATAAAATAAAACAGTGTCCGCTATTAATTTTGGCTAGTTGAGATATTATGTATGTTGGCATGAAAAATTTGTTTGTAATGACTTGGATGATTCTGCGAGAAGCATAAGATTTTCGCACTGAATTACTTGTAAATATCAAATGCTAAATTCTGTAATATTGAATTTTTCCTCACAAGGCATATTTGATGGGAGAGCTATGAATTTACATTCAATGGAGGTATCAGTCAAGGAACTGGTCTGAACAAATATATCCTTTTTCTGGTGCATTATATTATTTTGTAATTTTTAAGCTTAGGTAATTTAGAAAATGTATGTGATCCTCTAAAAATGGATGGGCTTTATACTCGATACGCTACTTTTAGGCCAATTTACATGCTTTGACATATTATCAATTTCGATCTATTGGCAATCAATTCAAGGCTCTGTTATAGCATATAATGCCACTTGAATAAAGGAAAGTAATTTTTACATAATACGTGATCTTTGACATAGAAAATATGATTACTTCTACGTGATATACATTCATTATATCATCTATACTTTCACAAAGCATGTAATGATGAAGCAAGAATCAAGATAATACCTTCCAAAATGGCTCAAAAATCTTTGGAGGGTTATATAAGATGCCGACGGCAAGCCTCTCAGGATAGTAACCCTGCAGCACATTGGCCGTTTCACGGGTTGCCTTTACTGATACACTCACCTTCGTCCAGCCTTGGAAGTCAATGAGCCACACCATCTGCTCCTGGTCTGGTCCTAAATTCAATATGGCATTTTCCATGCAGTAAACCAAGTACTTTATCTGCCCCTTTACTGCGTTTGTATTCTGATTATATAGTGAAATAATAATAATAATAAGTTATAATAGGAAATGTAAAATCTAAGGGCCCGTTTGGGATCAATTTTATTTTTCTTTTTTATTTTTTTTTTTTTATTTTGTTTTGTTTATGTTTGATTAAGATATTGTTATTTTTGAAAACACTCGAAACACCTGATTGTTATTTTGAGTATTTTCAAAAACAAATTGATTTGTTTTTAGAAACAAAAAAAAAACTAAAAAAAACACAAACAAAAAAATTTTCTTGTTTTTATATAAAAACAAAATTGATCCCAAACAAGCCCTAAATGTTGATAATATCTAAAGGAATGCAATAATTTTACTTGAAATCCAGGTCTCATAACAAGAACAGGTCTCCCAAACTTGTCTTGGTAATCAGCTCTGTATATTTTTCCAGTCTTAGCCTCATCAGCTATATCTTCCTATAAATCAATGTTGCATTTCAGGATTTGATAAACTAAATCATTATCAAAAGCTGAAGCAGGATAAATGTATCAAAAATCAAACATATCTCTATCAAAAACTAGTTCGTCTTGTCGAATATGATTAGGAAGAAGAACAAATAAGCAGAAAGAACATACCCAACGAATCAATTCTGGTCTGTATTCAAGCCTCCACTTCAAAGCTTCTTTAAACATTTTACCAGCCTTATCAGAATTCCAATTTCTTGCTCTGAGAAACCTTGATATTGAAGCATCTGAACAGAATTCCGGTAGGTTATCTGATAATGGAGCTATTAGCTTCCTGACTTCATTTATCTGAGCAGGAAGGATGGTTGAATTATAACTAAAAAAACAAAGTGTATCGTAGATTATATACATTTGTATTGAGATCATGTTCAACTTGTAAAATTACTCTAAAAGATAAATTATTGAGAAAAACAGATATTTGATTACAAATACAATGCACTTTTTTTTGCTGAACTTCGTTAAAAACAAAAAAAATAAAAAAAACAACCAACCTTCTGCTGCTGCTCCTCGACTGATAAAACCTTTTCAGCTCGGCTAGATTTTGACCTCCTTAGAGACATCTTTAAATCGGGCAACAATCTTTTAGTCAATCTAACAAACAGTTGAATTGCATAACTCAGGTAATTAACCCGATCAACAATTTCTCAGAGAAAAACAGTGTGAAAAATTCAACCTTGAAAAAATTCAATCTAGACATAAAGCAGATAAATTCAATCTATCCGAAATGCCCATAAACAACCATAACACCTCAAAAAATCAATCCTGATTATCAAAAAAAAAGAAAAAAAAAACACTTTCGATACGTATATCAACTTCTAAAAAGTTATCATGATTTGGGACCTTTCAACAGCCATGGAAAATTTTCAAAAAAGTAAAACTTGTAAATCTGAACAAAAATCCCCCCATGTTCATAACATGCAAAAGTCAAAGACGTGCTGGAAAAGAAAAGGCAAAAAAATCTATCAGCGGAAGAAAATGGAGAAAAATCCGAACTTGCCTTCAAATATATTTGAAATGTTAGCTCGCTGCTCTTCCAAGCTTAGATGAGATGAAATAATGGAAATCAAGGAGCAATTTTGATCAAATATTCGGTAAACTTGAAGAAGTAAATGAATAAAGAAGGCGGAGTCGTTGGGTAAAGTATTGGAGCTGGACAGATGAGAAGAACACGCCTCCGTACGTGAACAGAACGTTGCCATTTGACTCCACTAAGGCTGAAGCCTCTCTAGAAGAAGACGAAGTCAGCTATTATTTAAAGAAAAAAGAGGAGTGAAAGCATTTTATGGAGTTTTTATTTCCTTCTCCAATATAAAATTTTGACCTTCCATGAATATTAGAATTTTAATTTTGACCTATCATGAATATTAGAATTTTATGAAATATTTTTACTATTGAACCAATGCTTTTTGATGAACAACACTTCATTAACACTCGATTATATTTGTTCAAATTAATAAATAAATAATTTTAAAAATTTTCTTAAAATTTTAAAGTTAGATGAATCAAATTTGAACATAGTTCAGCTTATTTGTTAATGTTCACGAACAAATTGGTTTTTTTGTTCAACAAAAAAAACATTAAATTCGAATAATAATAACATAATGATAATATGCATATAAATTTAATGTATTTTTTCTTTTTTTATTTCAATAAATTAATTTATTAGTATTTATTTATGTGAGTTGATTGAAAGAAAGCTTATTTGTAACTTTTATATTATTTTAGTTATTTGATATAAACTTGTTAGATGTTAATTTAAAATTTATTCAAATACCTTTTTATTTAGATTTGTAAAATTATTTGTTAATAAATTTATATTAAAAATCAAGTATGAATTCGATTTTTTTACTTGTTTACAAGCATTATATAATAAGTTTAGTATAAAATACATTTTTAATTTTATATAAGCAATTCAGTGCTCTTTCAGATTTTAACTTGTTCAATTAAAATAAAAAAGTTAAATATAAATCATAGATGATCATTAAAAAATTTAAGGAAGCCACATATGAACATATACGTGCAAGCTCGATTCAAGCACGAACTAAACATGAACAACTTATGTTTCAACCAAGCGAAAAACAATCCATGTCACACTCAACTCGACTCGACTCGATTACAACACTATTAGTGAAGTATTGATTTTGCTAGCAAAATCTCAAAGCGCAAATTTTATCCCCATTTCCAATTACATATTAGTTATTTAAATTGAAAATATCATTTATATTTAGAATCATAAACCCAAAAGGACATTACATAACATATTACCAACTTTGAACATCGATCAAAACCAAATTTATCCTTGATTGAAACAATATTTGGGCTTGTTTGAACATTCAAAGTTTCTTCAAATAAAATCGAACTGTAATTGAACGAGGTTCAAATAAAATTAAAATAATAATAATAATAATTCGAACATGATTCTAACCATGATAAAAGAGGTTTAATCACAATTCAAATAGTGATTGAAGAATGTTTTATCATGATTAATGACAAGGGTACTACTAGTAAGTTTTGTCAAGGTTAAATCTAGAGCCAAATATTATATAGAAATTATTTGAATATTATCAAATATTGTATGGTTAAAATTCAAAATTAATATTTTACGATCATTGTCTCTTTTGAAATTGACCCATTTTAGTCGTATGTCAATGCATATTGTGATGGTACTTATAAGAATATATTATGTTGCTTCAATCATATATGAAGCTAAGGGTGTGATGAAAAAATCTTTTTAAGCAATTTGAAAGTAATGACATCTTTATGTTGAATATTAAAGGCAAAAACATATGTATCATAACAAAATTTTATGTTATTTAACATTTGAATGTATTGTTAAAGAACAACGCAAAGTTGGGCTCTAAATTAGGTAATTTTTAAATTAATATTAATTATACACTTACAAATTAAAAATATAATGGTTATTGTTGCACGAAGTTGATTTGAATTTGGATATTTATCAATAAAATATCGTCGAGTCATAACCATGCATATTAACCATTAATTTGGCACTTGATAGTGTTATAGATGTGTTGTGCAAATAATGCAAAAAAATAATAAGACAACTAGCAAACAATCAAACAAGATACAATTTACATGATTCAGCGTATATCTGACTACTTCCACAGGGAGGGTTATTCCACTATCATTAGATGGAGAGAGAAAAAAATGGTTGAAGTAAGGTTATAACTCCACACCAAAAATAACAATAATTCTTTCTATAAATAAGAGAGGATTAAGTTATACAAATTAGGAATATTTCTAATATAGAAATAATCCTCTAATTAGTTTACCTAATATTAAGCTTCTTAATATTAAAAAAAATCATATATTTAGATCTTCTCCCAGTATGTTACATGATAAAAATAATCCTAATATCTTCACTTCCTACTATAAAAACATTAGATTTAATACTTTCCATAATAATCTCGACCTATCCTCTCACTTCCATATCAGTGGAAGATGACCAAAATGAGCTACAATTCCAAAACAAATGCATCAAGATGGTTGCCTACGCACTCCCCCTCTCGAATGAATCAATCATTGTATAGTTCTTCAAACTATCTGAGTGGGCAATCAATCATGTGCTCACATGTTCACCAAAATCCTACAATGAAGTGAACATCTAGAATGGTAATATCTTTGTGAGCACTTTTGTTTTGGTAGTAGTTTTGTGAGCATGTTTGTTCTATTCTCCCTCATATATATCTTCTTCAATAGAATATTGGCATCATCAATTAAGTCCTGAACAAAGTGGAATCTCATATAACTGTGCTTGGTATTGGCAAGATGAACAAGATTTGTGGCTAAGAATATCACACTCCAACTATCATAGAACGCCATCAGACACTCTTGATCAATTTTCAAGTCATTCAGTTGGTCATACATTTATATTGCTTCCTTCATTTCCTCCGTGATTGGCATGTACTCAACCACCATAAAAACAAAATAATAGTAGAATAAAGAAGTAATCTCCAATTAATTGGATCTTTTGTCAATTTGAATAAATAATTAGTCATAAACATATGTGTATCCATATCACTTGCATAATCTAAATCAATATAGCCTACATACAAATTACTAATAGAAGACTATCTTTCAAAAGCTAAGCCAACATCAATTATACCTAACAAAAACTTCAAAATACTCTTCATGGTCTACCAATGACTTCTTGTCTGATCATGCATGAACCTACTCACAACACTGAATGCTTGTATAATGTTTGGTCTAGTACAAATTATAACATACATTGCACTGCTCACTACACCAACATAAGGAACAGATCGTGTATCTTTTCTTGATCATTTGCACGACACTGATATGAATTCAATTGAAATGGATATGCAATGGGTAGACACATCAGCTTTCTCGAGTCGTCGAACCCAAACTTTTTCAGCATATTTCGAACATATGTTCCTTGTGAGAGCTAAACCTTTCTAGTGCTTTGTCCTTAAGAATCTTCATGCCAAATATTTTATGAGCATCACCTAACTCCTTTACCTTGAAATATTTGGGCAGTTGCTTCTTCATCCTATCGACCTTAGCCTATCTAGAAGATACAATCAACATGTCATCAACTTATAAAAGCAAGTAGAAAGACTCGCCATTGAACAACCTCTTAAAATATGCACAATAATTGTATTAGCTCCTCGTGTACTCATTTCCCCATCATGAAGTAATCAAACTTCTTATATCATTATCATGGTGATTGCTTCTAGACATATAAAGACTTGTCCATCTATAAACCAAGTCTTTTGATGCTCCATATTTAGGTGGTAATATATAGATCTCCTCTTGTAATTCCCCATGTTGAAACACAGTCTTATATCAAGCTACTCCAAAATCATATTATATTGTGTTACAAGTGCTAAGAGAATACAAATTGAGAGATGTTTAACCACTGAGGTGAACACCTCATCATAGTATAACTCTTCTCGTTGTGAAAACCCTTTTGTCACTAACATGGCATTGTATGGCACCTCAGCTCCATGGGATCCTTTCTTCTTGGCATACATCCATTTGCAACAAATGACTTTCCTTCCTGGAGAAAGCTTCGCCAATCTCTAGGTAGCATTCTTTTGAAGAGAATGATATCTTTCATTTATTATGCCTCTCTAAAGATCATCGTTTGGACTCTCCTCGCTTCCTTATAGTAGCAAGGAATTTAAGCCTCTACAACTGAAAGTGTAAATGCAATGTGATCCCTCAATCAAGTTAGTTTTGATATATCTGGCTCCTAGTCTTGCTCCTAGAAGTAGATTCTTGAGCAAGAAACTCATCCTCAACATCTTTTCAACCTCCTCCTGAGCACTATCAATATGTATCTTTTATGTTGCAACTAAATGAATTGCCTGAGTAGGAGTGGATGAACTCTGTGAGATAAATTGAGTTGCATTAAATTCTAGCTTTTGTTGCATAATTTATGGTCCCAATAAAACTCTTCACATACTTTGAGTCCCGATGCTTCAACATGCTTGCCTCGTCAAATGTAATATCCATATTTATGATAATCTTCTTCTCTACTTGATTATAAAGTTTGAATCCTTCTTTGCTTATGGTTTCATTTTATCATCATGCACGTGGTAGTAAGTTGGACACCTGGACACCCTCATATGTTCATAATCTTTAGTAGGATGCCCCAACCACATCTTTTTTGGGGTCTTCTTTTCAATGACTGTAGAAAATAGATGGTTCACCAAGTGATAATCATAGTTTATGACCTCTGTTCAATAGACGTTATTCAACCCAACAATTGACAACATACATAGAATTTTTCTCACAAAGTCTAGTTCACCCTCATTGTTACCCTATTCCACTGCAATGTCCCTCAAACAATGAAGTTGTGCTCTATCCCAACCTATAACACTCTTACAAGAACACATCTAATGTATCTTCACTCATGATTTATGATCTGATACACCAAATTTTTTTACCATTTTGAGTCTCAATTTGCTTTTTTCAAGTCATAAAAATCTCCAATACCCCGCTCTTACGCTCATGGTGTACATGCAAATATATCTGAAGCAACCATTGATAAAAGACACATCATCTTTGCTTATTGAATGATGTCATCTTCTTTGAAACCCAAACATATATGTGAACTAGCTCTAAAATATATTATTGTGGATGACAATACCAAAAGATACTTGTATTTTCTTTCCAAACACATAATACTAAAAAAAAAAGAGCTTACAAAGGCTCGCTCTTTTGAT